CACCGCCACCGCCTTCGCCTGCCTCTACGAGAACGGCGTGAGGAGTCCCTACGAGCAGATCTCCTTCAGCATGTTCACGCTGCACGACGTGCTCCAGAACATCCCCCTGACAGCCGCTGCTCCCCCGCGGGGGAAGAGGAAGAGGAAGAGGAAGAGGAGGAGGAGCTGCTTCATCTCCTAGAGCCCGCCCAGGGCAGCTCCCACCATCACCACCCTGGAGCATCAGCCCTCGGCTGGGTCCTGCCGCCGTCCAGCACGGCCACAGCACACGGAGGTGTGTCGCTGTCCCCTCAATGGGGTTTGTCTCACTTTTATTGCTGTTTTTTAAATTCTGTTTTGGGTGGGGAGGCTTTTGCCCCCAGCTCTGGTGGTGTTCACAGAGGTCTCAGGACGAGGGAAGAGATGAGAATCTTGACTCCATGTTTCAGAAGGCTGATTTATTATTTTATTATATATATTATATTAAAATATAATTATATATTAAAACTGTACTAAAAGGATAGAAGAAAGAAAATGAATGATAATAAAATCTTGTGACTGTCTAGAGAGTCCGAGCCAGCTGACTGTGATTGGCCATTAATTAAAAACAACTGCATGGATCAATCACAGATCCACCTGTTGCATTCCGCAGCAGTAGATAATCATTGTTTACATTTCATTTCTGAGGCCTCTCAGCTTCTCAGGAGGAAAAATCCTAGCAAAAGGATTTTTCATAAAATACGTTTGTGACACCCAGCCCAGCCTCAGGCTCCTCTCCAAGCAGGAGCCACCTCTGGAAACAAATACTGGGGGGCAGCAGCAGCCGTGCAGGGGGAGGCAGCCAGGGGTTTGGGTTCTGTCCCTTCATTGTAGCTGGGATGGGGCTGGGTTTTGTATTTGGGCTGATGATAAAGAAACATTTGTATTGCATTTCTGTCTGTCTGGGATTTTAGTGATTTTTCTTTGTTATTTTCCTTTTCATTACAATTTATTATTATTATTTCAATTATTAAAGTGTTTTTATGGCAACCCAGGAAATGTCTCACATTTACCCCTCTGATTCTCTCCCCCTCCCACAGCATGGGGGTGAATGGCTGGGTGGTGCTCAGGTGCCAGCTGGAGTTCAGCGACCCCAATGGCCCAGTTGGTGTTTTGTTGCTCTGGGATTTGGGTTTTTAATGTGCCAGGGCCATCAGGCCTCTCCTCTGACCCTTGTCAGTCTGGGGACAAATTCCCTCCCAGCCCATCAGGCCCATGGTGGGTGCTGTAAGGTTTGGGAAGGGGCTGAGCACAGGAGTGGGGTCCTGCTCTGGGGAACGAGCAGCAGCTGCTCCTGACACGTGTGTGGTGAAATTTGGGGGTTACACCTCAATTCCTGCTCTGCGTCCCCCAGCACAGCTCCATCCGAGTGCCCAGCTCAGCTCCTCAGGCTCCTCCACCTGCCCTGTGCAGGTGACAAACACCAGCTCAGCTGCCCTAAACATGAACTGATTAACAAAACTGCCCTAATTAACAAAACTGATTAACAGGAGCATCCAGCTCTTTAGCCTGTGACACCACCATGCCTCATTTTCCACCAGGGTGGGTGGAGGCTGGCAAGTGACAGACAACGTGTAGAATAGAAATTTTCAGTTCCCTTGAAGTTGCAAAATAGAACTTAAAGACTAACTAGCAAGTGAGATGAAAGAGTGTAAAAGTTGGCAAAGAGGATGCTAAATACATCTGGAACCACTGGAGAAACAGGCAATGAGGAACACGGTGACTTTTGCGGCAAAGTTATGTAACAAGAAACAGCAGTGCCCTGAGAGAGGTTCAAGGCAAGGCCACAGCACTGGGGCGCTGAGTAGAACCAGCAGACACCCCTGCAGACAAACCTCTAGGATCAAAAATCCTTCCAGGAAGGGATGGAGGCACTGGTTGTGGGCAAAGTGCTGTTTCTGTGTTCTCTAGGAGGCCCCTTGTAATGAACCTGTCTGACCATGGTGGAACAAACCCTGCAGTGAAGCCCCACACCACACATTTGGTTAGGGAGATATCCTGTGTGTGTCCAGCTCTGGGATAAGGAGGGCCTGCTTTCTAATCCTCCAAATTATGTCAGGAAATTGCTTCTCTGCCTTTCAGTATCTCGAGGTTCTCATCCTTTCAGTTCTTCTCCTTTCAGAATCACAAGGAGTGGCCGAGGCAGCTGCTGGCAGCCAGGCCCTCCCTCCATCCCTTACCAGCCCAGTCCCAACCCCAAAGGCCACCAGCCCCAAGGGAGGGGACACAGCCCAGGCCAGGGATGTGCACAGGAGCAACCCTTGGCTCCTCATCCCCACCAGCTGCTCCAGCCCAGGGGTGTCCATCCATCCATCCCCTGGGGCTCTGTCCGTCTCACACCGGGCTGGTGTCACAGCTCCTGCTGCGCCCTCAGTGCCAGCAGCCAGGGACACCCGNGGGGACACGCAGCTGAGCGGGACACGGTGAGTGACATCGCTTTCTCGGGGGGGTTGAATCAGCAAAAGCTCCTGATGGAACCACAGGTGACAGCTCCAGCTGAGCCTGGGGTGGATGCCATCTCCTTCTGTGGTGCTAGTCTCCAGGGAAATGTAGGGATATCTAAGCAGGGCACAGCTGACCTGCCCCTGAAGGAAGGGCTTTGGGGACAGCTCTCACCCGGTGCCACAGGGACAGCCCAGCTGGAGACCCCCTGTCCGTGCTGAGCAGCTCAGGGTCCCCCCACAGAGGAGGGGGAACAAGGGCTCTGCTGGGTCGCTTGCAGGAGCACCCCCTGACCCTGTCACGATGAGCCCGGGCTGCTCCGGGGTCTCCTCTGTGGGCTCTGCCATCCCAATGCATGGAGCTGCAGGGCTCACCCTGCTCTCTGCTCACTGGCCTTGATTTCCCAGGCAGGCATCTTAAAGATCAAATTCATTTGTTTCATTTATTTTGGGGTTCCCAACTCAGCCTCCTTGCTGGCACCCTGACCCACCTCTGAGCTGTGGTGACTCGCCAGCACACACTCAGCCCCTCTCCACCCCATCCCTGCTCCCGGGGGGCTGCCCCGACCCCAGCCCACCAAATGAACCCCAAACCCTTCCAGGACAGCCCCACACCCCTGGCCATGCCCAGCTGTTGCTATGGGACAGGAAAGAACACAAGCACACACTGCTGCTCTCAAGGTGAAGAAAAAAAAGGAAGTTTATTTTCCGACTCCTACATTTACAGTTTTCCAAGAGTGACAGTGGATTGGAGGGTTGACAGTGCCACCTCTTCCAATGACACTGGACAAACCAACAGCCCATCAACTTTCTCCTCCTCCATAAAGGAATGCAAAACAATGAGTTATTTACAGATAGTGTGTGAGAAAGTCCGCTACAAG